CAAAAAAAAATTAGTTATGCCATTTTTAAAGCGGTAAAGATAAAGATTCGAAAACACCAAAATTTCTTCACTGTTCAATTCCCTGCAAGGACTGAAAGAAATATGGGACTTGTAATTCAGAAGTGCATTTCGAACTCTGAATAACTCCAGTACACAACTCCTTAGTTATTTTTACTGATTCCACCACTGTTTCTCAACATTCATAATCGCCGTCAACAAGTTTAGGAAAATTTAGTTCCAAACACGAGGAAATGCAGCCACTCCCCCCCTACCCTCACACCTCGCTACCGCACTTCTCCAGCCAACTGAGCAAGACCTGTATGAGTAGTACAAAAGATCGTATCGACTTGGACTTTCTGGTATTTCTCGACAGCACCTCAAACAAACTCGGCCAAAAAATTACAATATTTCAGACAAGATGAGAAGCAGAAGAACATTCTCCGCCACACCACTGCAAAATATCTGTAATGGTACTATCAAATATTTATGTAGAACATCGTTTTTTAGAGAATAAAAGCTACAGGAAATCTTATAAACTTCAAGCTCTTTCAGGACTTGTAAAACTGAGGCCTTTACTATTCAACAAATGCACTTTTAAGTCCTAACTATTCACTAGCACATGCAAATTTTTCAGCCTTCTCTACTCATCTTGTAGATAAACGTTTAATGTGCACAATCCAATCACTCGAAATTTACCTTAACGGTCCTGATAAAATCCCCCTTCCTCAATCAATATTTGTAATTATGGAGAACAAATTAAACCGAAAACCGAAAGCGTAGTTTCTTTATCAATGCATCAAATCACGAAGAACTAAAAAGATTACGCACGCTCCAGCCTCAACTACACCAAAAGCGCATTAACTGCATAAAAAACAAAACTGCCACTCAAAACAAGCACCACACATCCAAATCGCCTGCCAAGAACCACACGCACAAACTCTTACTGCACTTCCCTCAACGTCTTTTGCAAATACTGAAAAACTACATACCGAGCGACCTGCAAACCCGGAAAAATTAGCAAGCCTTTGCTCGTACACAGTATCTAGTTAAGTCCTGCATGCAAAAAAAAAGCATGTCCACTATAAAAAGTCAACCATGACAAACAAAAAACCCATCATCAACCTGTATAAACATCCATCAAAACAATGTTTACTGTTATTACTGTAAGTTGTTTCGATAACAGAGGCCTAATAATTATCATTCCCATGATGATTAGAGCACATGTCCACCAATAAAAAAACGCCATTTTATCAAATAACAAAACTCATCATCAATTCTTGACAGCAAATAAACAGCAGATTAAAAAAAAGTGGCAGAAAACTACACAACTCTACTGCAGGACTAATCAAACTTTTCTTATACCTACCAGTCAGTGAAATCATAAAACGATTAATGACCCAGTAATTCCATTACGGCGGAACTGCCGACTCACAGAAAACGAATACTAATAAGCGCTAACTGATGACTCACTACATCCAAAAGACGATGAAGTTCCTGAATTACTCCTATAGTCCTTTTAAATGAACCTCCATTGGGAGCCGCATCTGACAATCTGAAAAGGTTATCTAATAGACCTCAATGAACTAAAAACTACATTCCTTAAATGACATTCAAAAAAAGAGAT